CCCCCCCCCCCAAAACCCCTCCACCGCGCCGTCCTTGAGAGAGGTCGACCACCGCCATGGCCGACCAGGCTGCCCCCATCAAGGTCGCGCGCCCCAGCTTCAATGCCAATATTCGCAGCCGCTCCTATCTCCAGGAGCACCAGCAGTACCGGCCTCCCCAGCAGGATGGCCGCCAGGGCATCGACAGCATCGTCGAGGGCTTGCGCGACACCTCTGTCGCTTCTCCCAAGCCAATCCAGCCCTTCAATGGCGTTCTGTCGCCCCAGTCGCCGCCGACGATCATCGACAGTGGGCTCAACCACACGCTCTCGCACTCGAGCTGCCAGCCGCCCTCGGGCACACAGTCCGACCGCCTCATCGCAACCTTGCTCTACAAGACCAAGGCCCCCCGAGCGGTGATCACGGATGTGCCTCATGGCCGCTCGCCGTCCCCGAATCCCTCCTCTACCATTCCCCCGAACCTCGCGCCTGTTCGCACGCTCTCTGACTTCCCCCTGGAGCCGCCTCCCCCCGACCCAGAACCGCTTGACCACCTCTACGGCAGCTACATCTCCCCCCTCTGCCTCACCTCGTTCCTCCACATCATCAGCTCTCTGCCCTCCCGTCACAGCTCCGCGCCTCTCTCTTCCTCCCATCGCTGTCTTGACGACCCGGATCATCCCACCATCGTTGAGCTCACACTCTCCCCGACCCCCGATCCAGCCTACCTCACACTTGACGATCTGCGCAGACACGAGCTCATCTATCGCTTCGAGCAGGAATGGAATGTCGACGTTATTTTGCAAGCCGACAGCGTCCTCCGCCGCTATCCGCGATTGGTGGTATTTGATATGGACTCGACTCTCATCGAACAAGAAGTTATCGATTTGATCGCTGCGTCCATAAACGTCGAAGAACAAGTGTCTGCTATTACGGCCAGAGCTATGAATGGAGAGCTGGATTTTTCTTCCTCCTTGAGAGAGCGGGCAAGGTTGCTGAAGGGGGTTGATGCCGATATTTTTACACAACTGAGGAGTGTGATTAAGCCTACGAAAGGGGCGAAGGAATTGGTTAGAGCACTCAAGAGGCTAGGGTGCAAGACAGCCGTGCTGTCCGGTGGCTTCATCCCCTTGACTCAATGGCTTGCTGATCAACTAGGGCTCGACTATGCATATGCAAACACCCTTGCATCTGACCCGGCTACTAGTACCCTGACGGGGGAAGTCGTTGGCACTATCGTCAACGCAGAAAGGAAACGGGATCTTCTTCTCGAGATCGCAAAGAAAGAGAATGTAGACTTGGAACAAGTAGTCGCTGTTGGAGATGGCGCGAATGATTTATTGATGATGAAGGCAGCTGGACTGGGGGTGGCATTCAATGCGAAGCCGCTGGTGCAGATGGAAGCCAAGGCAAGGTTGAACGGGGACAGCTTACTGGACTTGCTGCACCTCTTTGGATTCACGGCCGAGGAAATCCAGACCTTGATTCGATAGGGCGTAGTGATAGTGATAGCAGATACCTGTTGTTCTATAGACTTTGAAAGCCAGGTGATGCGGTTGGCAGCACGGTATGTCACCACCCCTCTGATAATTTGAGTCCTAATCCGGTCAGGTATCTATCCTCCCCGAATTAGCTTGCCTGAGCGTTCACCAGGCTTTCCTACCTACGTATTATGTAGTTGTAAACCCAAGCTGTCAATACCGAGGCGCAAATACCTCCAATGAAAGTGCGTGATACTAGGTATATTGCAAGGTAACCGATGGTCTTGATAACTTCCGTGAACTTGCCCTTTCGAGCGGTACTTTTATCGAGACTTTCGCATCTGGATAGATATAATCGCAAAGTTCCTGCGACCGCTAGGGTAAAGAGGACGCCTTTCTCATGCCGCAAGGAGTGTGGCCAATATCCTTCGTCCCCAACCCAGTGCTGAACCAAGGGGTAGGGAATGATCATGGAATCGAATTAGCATTCCTTGGGTCTATAAGAAGGGTGGTGCTACATGTAATGCATCGTCCATATAACGCTCAGCGTGTGTTTCTACAAACGCCATAACGCCGTGGTATCCTTCCTCGTGCTTCGTCGATGCCCCTTCTATAGACGTTGGATCCTCTCATGAGCCGATAATAGACGTCCGTCATGATCCTCTGGTGCTTTTTCCCTCTCGGCCTTGCGTATCATTGTCTCCTCGTAGCAGGGCAGTCTTTCACATCTCCACATCCCCCATCATTGCCCCATCACGGCCCTCACGTCCCAAACCAACAATCTCTGGTCCCAACTCACACTCGCACACCATCCCTCCGCTCCGAACAAACACCAATCCACCCCTGTGACAAACTCTGTATGCCGACCCAACCGACCTAGCTCCTTTCCCCCACCTCGAAACACGTCCTGCTGAGTATTACTCGTCCCATCCGTCCACACCCTACATGTCATATCGTAACTGGCACTCAGCAGCACGTCGCTGAGATGCGGGCTCCACGCCAACTTTCTCACCGCGTACTCGTGCCCCGGCAACAGTGCTAGTGGCCCCGCCTTCGGGTTGCGGATGTCGAAGGTACGGATGATGGTGTCGACGCCCGCGGTGGCGATGATGCTGGAGCGGTACTTGTTCCAGTCATGCGTGAGACATTCGGAAGGGGGGAAGGACTGCCGGGCTGGCAAGCCGGGGGCAGGCGGGGCGCCGTGGATAGGGATGAGGTGGACGAGGTGGTTGGACGCAGAGGCGGGTGTGCGAAGGTCGAAGATCCGTAGGTGCGAGTCGGACGAGACAGAGGAGAGGACAGAGGGCGAGTGAGGGGAAAAGGCGGTGCTGTATGTGCAGGAGTGGGTAGGGAGAGTGAGGATCGAGGTTGGGCGTTGTGGTGACCACTGTGTGTAGGTTCATGTTAGCTGGCGGCAAGACATGGAGGGGCAGAGAGGACGGTACGATTTTGATGGTCCCATCCCACGAACTCGAAGCAAATGTGTCCTTCGAGACCAGGTTCCACGATACGGAATACACCTCTCGATTGTGTTCCTGCCATGACTGCACGGGGAAGTTGTTCAGCGCGATGTCGAATAGCTTCACCGACCCATCGCCACACGCCACAACGATCTGGTTCTCGTGTGCTTCTGACCATGCCGTATCGTAGAGGGAGTCTTGCGTATCGAACCTGCGAGCACACATGAACACCTCTTCTGCCTTCCACCAGCTGGGAGCGGACGATACCATTTCTCGGCCTGAATCCCATCCGCAGTCAGCCCCAAGATATACAGCCGCCCATTACCCACAAGCCCGAAATTTGCTAGAACGCGTGTTAGCAGAATGATGGCCTGGATGAGGGGGACTTGGGGACTTTTCTGGCACGGCGTGCTCCCAGGCCAAGTCAATGAATGGGCAAGGGCCTGCGCCTGCGCCTGGGGGGAGAAGAAGAGGGAGAGCAAGGCAATCGGGTACGCACCAGAGCTGGCCACGGCAATGCGCGAGTCGAAGAAAGGCGAGTACTTCACGGCATAGCCATTGAAGCCTTGTGTCTGGTATTCCAGCATCCCGTTCATGGTTCCCAGTCATCCGTCGCGCTCGAGCGTGGTGGAGAGGGAGAAGAGGGTGCCGAGGCAAGAATCCCGTTGTTGCAGCTTAACAACTTGCGGGGCAGCGAGGGAGCGCGGGAGCGAGAGCGAGCGAGGCCCACGCGAAATCGAATGCGATGATGGCTTTTCTGCAGAGGGGCTTGTTTAAGGTATGTATAACCCTTTTGTTGTGTTGTGATATAGACATCTACGACTTCCAGGCGGATACCCAGTCGACTCAAGTCGCACGCACGCAAATCTATCTATGGCTCTCCACGCCTCGTCAAGGATTCATTCCTTCGGTCCCACATGAAAGACAACAACACCATGATGATCCCCTCTCTCACTCTTCTGCCCCTGCTCGAGACCCCGCCTCTGCCCTGGCCTCCGTCCCCAGCCCAACGCCCTCCTCAAAACTCCCCCTCCTCCCCCAATTCCGGGGCTGTCTCTTCAGAAACGCTCCCACTGCGCCAAGGTATCCCTCATGCCTCAAGAAATATGCCTTCTTCTCCCCCTTGCTCCAGAATTTGATGGCATAGCTGAGCGTGTTCATCGTCTGCCGGTGGCCTCTGATGAAACTGCCCCCGAAATAAATCGTCGAGAGGGAATGCTTCTCCGACTGCAGGTACGCAATCTGCCCGATGTTATTCGAGATTGCATACAAGAGAGACCGCGAGACGTCCGCCGAAGAGAAGGGGGCCGCAGGAGAGTCCGCGGCCGGAGGAGGTCGATCATCGACTGATGTCGGATCTGTGGATTGGCATTCTGTGCCCTTCTCTGCCTCCTGTTTTATACGAAATACCTTTCCGAACGAACTCGCAATTGTGCTACTCTTCAATCCTATTTTCCCATAGTCGGTCCCATAGATATCTCCTACCAACATGTCGACCTTGGCATTGTTCCCTCGTTCGGCCAGGTCAAGCATTTCGTCAAAGCTGCCTGCGCCAGTCAAGAGGGAGAGGAGGCCCCATAGTGTTCCGCCCCCGAGGGAGGTCCCTCCGACTCTCTCATACGCCCGTGGCCCGGAGACTTTGATCATGCTAACACCAGAACCAATGTTGACTAAGAGGTAGGGATAGATGTCTGATCGCTGATCTTCGAAGCGCATTAGGTGTGTTTCACTATACGTGAACACCTCGCGGGGGATCTCTGTAATAAAGAAGTCAAGGCCTGTTTGGGTCTGTTAGTCTGTGCTGCTCGCTGTCTTCGGGAGAGCGTCTCCGTACCAATGATTAGGCACTCCATCTCGTCCTCTCTCAGCACATCAACGCCTAAGACGTCCCGGATCCTGTCGTAGAATTTGTATGCTCCCCCGCCTGTCGCTATAACACACAGTTCCTCTGGCTTTGATCCATTGAGCGTTTGCTGCTTCATCTTCAGCTGGTTCATGAACTCTATGCAGTCGTCTATACGGTTGGTCTCGAAGTTTATAAAGTTCAGGCGGCCACCTGGTTCTCGAGAATAGGGCTCGCGGGAGAAGTAGACAAGCTTGGCTAGGGTTCCACCGATCTGCCGTTATTATAATCAGTCGCAGGACATGAGAAGACGCGGAGGGTGCACGAACATCCACAGCAATATGACTGACAACCGCGGTATGATACGGTAATCGAATGTCTTTCGTGCCATAGCTCGGTCGACTCGCAGGCGTACCACTGGGAGACGCGGAATCCTGATCGACAATAAAAGCGCCCTTCACATTGATCCGCACCGAGCCTGGATGTATGATTGTGCTGTCTATTTCCGTAGTACTGGTCTGTACGCGGGGGGTTGTCGAGCTGGTGGGGGCGGCTGGCGCATCTCGAGCCTCGTCGGCAGCACCTTGGTCTGTCCGCGGGGCATCCTCAGACATGGCGGGGTGAGTATACGCTGGAGCCCGGGAAAACAGAGGTTCAGAGGTTCAGAGGGGCATTGAAGGGTTGTTGATCTCGAGTCTGCTGCAGCGGAGTTCAACAGGAGGTCCGCATACACATATTTTTCTGCTATCGTTGCCGAAAGAGTGTCATCCTCGGCCGACGAAGCCTTGCTGTGTCCCTGCGCCCGAAAGGGGATGGTTGGTCACCTGACCACCCGCGTTCTCCACAGGGCCGTAGCCTCGTCTCTCCGCCTCACTGGTGATAACGGCTCCCGCCCGACCAGAATCCATCAACCCTTCCCCAGACCACGCCCTCTCCCATCACGCTTGCTGTTGCGGACGACCATGGCGACCGGGCAGAGCAAAGGCACGTATTGAACTCAAACTGCCGCGACCGGAGAAAGAATTCTGCTAACTCCTGTCTCAGCCTCCCTCGCGAGCGACGACGAGTCTACCATCAAAGTTGCGCCCAAGAAGGAAACAAAAGACAAACCCCAAACCACAATCAAACTGAAGAAACCTGCGCCGAAGCATAACAAGCCTGGCAACTGGCGCGATGGGAGCGTGATTGATGGTAGGTCGAGTACAAACCCACCCCAATCGAGTGCTCCAAGCGCATTCCTAACCGATACCCAGACGATAAGAAGAAAGGCACCGAAACCCCCTCTACAAATTCCGTTCCTGCGTCACCGGGCCCGGTTGTGAATCAATTGGATGATACCGCCAGGGAGACATTTGCGACCGGGAGACCCCTCGAAGATTCTCCCGAGTTGCACCAATGCAAGCATTGCAAGAAGAGCGTCTTGAAGACAGCGGCGAAGGCACATGTAGTAGCTTGCTTGAAAGCGAAAAAGGAGAAGGCACAGAGGAAAAAAGAGCAGAAAGAGGCAAGGGAGAGAGAAAAGAAGGAGATGGAAGGCGAGGCTAAGAAAGACGAAGACGGCGATACGAGAATAGACGACGACGACGACGTTGAAGACGATGCGTCGCCGGAGAAGAAGGTTCCTGGAGGATTGAAGAGCGCGAAGAAGAGTGCGGGAAAGAAGGTCGAGATCGATGATCCGACGAAGAAGGGCAAGAAGCGTAAGGCTGATGGAGATGCGGAGAAAGGGCCCAAGCAGAAGAAGAAGAAAGAGGAGCCCAAACCCAAGGCTCCTAAACCGAAAGGTATGTCACCCATTTTTGATTTATACCAGGTTCTATTGCGAGTTTTATATTGCGCCCCGTGCTATTGAGCAGGATATACCATCTATTTCCGATCAACGTACTGCTGTTGTTGGTATCGAATCTGCCCCGGAATCAAATACCGGAGGAAGTTGCTTGACCGAGAATATCCATCAATCCTGAGACGACCAAGTCTGTCCGATACTTTGCACATAGATATTTCTCTGCGTCCCTGGGTGCGAGTATGTGTACACTCAGCTAAAGAGAATGACTCTTAGGTCCTGTCGACGTCGAAAGGCAATGTGGTGTGCTGATCAAAGAGGGGGTTCGCTGTGCTCGATCTCTCACTTGCAAGAGCCACTCGATGGGAGCAAAGCGTGCAGTTGGGGGTCGCTCACTACCATACGACATGCTTCTTGCTGCATACCAAAAGAAGAACCAAGCCAAGCAACAAAGTACACCTTCCCCTCCCCGGTTCTTCTGCAACTATGACTGACAGGCCCAACAGAAGCAGCAATAGATGCGAATGCCCCACTCGAAGAGGAAGAAGCAGGCAATGGACCTGTCGACTCTGATGAAGAACTTACAACAGTCATGCACGGTCTCAGCAACTGGAACCCGCAACCCGTCGTCCCACCTCTGATACAAGTGCCCATCGATCGCGAATATCAGAAAAAACGCCTCTACGAGCAGCTTCACAATGCCACCAATGGCTTCACAGTCAATATCTGCAAGGTTGTTGGTTACGGAGCGCAGAAACTACCCCCAGGTCATCCTGCCTATAATGAGGGCAAGGGCGATGCTGACGGTGAGGTGGATTCGAGCCCAGCGGGTGCATTAGGCCAGGGGATGCAGGCTGTTGCTTCAAGGAGGGCGAGTTCATTCACGATGCAGCAGCCGCCGAGTAGAAGAGCGAGCACCGCTAGTCAAAGATAGGCGGTTTACTCACATAGTAATTGAGACGAATTTCATTATTGAGAAGTGTATAACACACTTTACAACGGAGCCCTACCGTATAAGTCTGCAGGATAAGGGTATGAGAGGTTCACGATCTCTGATCACTGCCTAAGGTATGTTGTAGAGGTCGAAGTCAGGCTCACGAAAGCATCCACGCTCAGACGGATCTTGAACATTGATAGGTTGATTGAATGGTTCAATGGTCGATCTTTAGAGAAAAGTCTACATGCGGTACTCCTTGGTGGATCGAACTTGTAGAGATAATATCGATATCTGTGCTGGCAGTTAGTGCGTAACAGGGAGACATCCCGTCCAGACGTACCGTTATTGATATACGTGCCCACGTTGTCTGGGGTCAGGCCTCCGCTGCATTCCAGCAGGAATTCCTTTTTGCCAGCCCACCTCTGCTTGATGCTCTTGGCTGCAATCTTCAAGCCGTCGCTGGAGAAGTTATCTAACATGATGATATCCGCTCCCGCGGCGATGGCCTCATCCGCACCAGCTTCACTATCAACTTCGACCTCAACCTTAAGTGCGAACCCGCCTGCAGCCTTTGCAGCCTTGACCGCCTCTGTGATGCTCCCCCGCGCCCAGATATGGTTGTCCTTCAACATCGTCAAGCTCGAAAGATCGTGACGATGTCCATCCACCCCGCCAACAATCATCCCATACTTCTCAACCAGCCGGAACCCCGGTGTAGTCTTCCTTGTGCCCGCGAGAATACCTGTGTATCCCGCTTCCCTGAGCAGCTCTGCCATTGCTCTCGATTTAGTCGCGACGCCAGAACATCTGGCCAAGGTGTTCAAGGCCACTCGCTCTCCGAGCAACAATTTCCGCACGGGTCCTGTCACTGTCGCGACAGCAATCTTTCCCGCAGGCCCCGGATCGACGACGGCCCCTTCTTTCAGGTGCCACTTGACCGTGCAGCCAGCTTGTGCGAAGATTTCGTCGAAGAACGGCACTCCCGCGAGGACTCCCTTCGATTTCCCGAAGAGCGTAGCAGTTCGTTCGCTATCACCGACTACGAACCCTCCATAGTCGAACGAGGGGGTATCTTCCGCATACCAGGCAGCGATCTGCGATTTCCAGTGGACGGGAAGAAGGTCCGCGGGATTGCCGTGTTGGAGAGCCATTTCTATGGAGTTGTTGGCAGATAAAAAGTCTTGTCAAGGGATTTGCTTGAAAAGCCGCGGCGGACTTTTTGCAATTTGACCGATACGTACCGACGATACGACTTCTTCCGCGCTTCCAGGGAGCACATCACCAAGGTGTGCACCAACCACGACGGCGGCAAATCACCACCTGGTATGTTGAATGCACAATAAGGAGCGGGTGCAAACCCACCAAGAATCCTCTCTTCTAGCAGGCTACTACCTAGAGCTACGACATGTTCGAGGAGGCGAGGGCGTCGACATACAGCACGAGGGTTCATAGAGTCAAAAAGTGTAATCCATATCTGCAAGCTCTTATTTACAACATTTGCCCCAAATCAGCGCCAACCCGACTCTAAACCACCATACCTCCAAATCCGATATCAGGTTTATCGTGTGTATCGTTTACTTATATACAATGAGATAGATCTACAGCTTCGATGAGAGCTGGGATCGTGCGACTTTGACTTGAATAAGCCCGTTGGGGCCTGATTGGGGAGCGTAGACTTCCGCATCCTTGCCGGTGTTCTTGATACCCTTGTGCCAGCTCAGATCTAAGGTCAAAGGATTAGCAGCTGCTACTCAAGACGACGCTCCGAGGGTGCTATGCTTACCAACTTCGAAGTAGTGCTTGTTAGGGAGTGAGTAATCCACCGTCTCGACCTCTGCGACCGCGTCCATGATTTTCGTGCACATCTTATACATGGTGTTCTGCACAGATGGGCTGTCCTCCTCTGCGAATGTCTTCATGGTGATTTCCCTGGCGTCATTCCACGCCTTATCAAACTTGGGGATAGAAGCCTTCACGGCGTTCAATCCTGAGAAGGTCTTCCAGACCCACCCGCAATCGACGTCCGTGGACAATATCCTGTCCCAAACCTCCGGCAGGGTTGTAAACTCGTCTCGCACGAAGCCGTGGAATTGCGAGCCGGTGCTCTTCAGCACCAACAGCCCTACGATCCCGCTGCGGATGTCAATCCCCTGGCCCTTTCGGATGACGGCGTCCACATTGCGCGTTTCGGCACCGTCGCGGTAGAACGAGTGGGGGTGAGGCTTCCCATCAATTGTCATTCGTGTCCATCGATGTGTTATGATCTTGACGTGTGCAGCTGTGATGTGTGCGTAGGTCTCGATAAAGTGGGTTCCGAGGATGCTAGCAAAGAGCTCGGGAGGGGTGACTGGGTGTTCTTTCGCCTTGATATAGATGGTGTTCTTGATCGAGTCTGTAGCAACGACCACGCTGTTGTCGCCTTTGGTATACCTGGATATCGTCAGCTGCCGTCGCGCGCGGAACGGGATAGAATCCAGCTTACGATATCTCGATCGCCCCCTCCAGCAATACGCAGACAGTCATTTCCGTGACTGTTTGGACGCCGGTCTTCTCGTCCCGTTCGACCTTGTAGACGCGGACATTGTCCTTGCCGTAACGTGCTTGAGCTACGGACGCCATGGCAGCGTGGTGTTGAAAGGGCTGGTTGGGGGGAGGAGGTCAGGTATAGGTATAGACAGACAATTGATAGAACCGAGGTGACACGCTATCGATCGCGAGCTGTATCGATGAGTGCAACGAATGGATGCGAATATGAATCGAGGTTGGAACTCTGGGTCAGAGCTGGCTCTGGAGTCTTTATATGCCTTTTCGAGGGGGGCGGGCGGGCTGGCTTCGACCTGGCGGAGGGCGCCGATGAGAGAGAACGAAAGCGTCCTTCCGCCCCGCGGAGGGCAGAGAAGCTCGGGAAAAGAATCCCGCTAGTTGGAGACCCTGGGAAAGCAGAAAAAGGATTTTGAGCCACGGAAATGCCAACGCTTCTCCACCAGAGCAGCGTTTCGTTGATCAGAATGCCGGCGATGGTGACGAGGCTGAATCGCCTTGCTGAACGGGAGTCGCCTCGAGAGTCGCGTGATGATCCACACACCCCCCCCGCGGTGGCTATAGACGCCTCCCTCAGCCGGCAGGAAAACAGGAAGATACCTTAGGCGATCACCAAATGAGCACAGCCGTGATGCATGCGCACCCCGCCGCCGCTACCTACCACTCTGCGGCAATATCCGCGCCTTCAAATATATATTTGTATATCTGACTTCCAGGGCATCATCTACACCATAAGTACACCTAGGTAGATATAATAGATCACAGAAATGAAGTTGCGCTCAGGACCTCAGAAAAAGGCCATTTATGACCGTCTGTCTACCTAGGAGTCTAAGACAGTTGAGACCGACATCCACCGAATGGTGGTATTATGCATACAGGGGGGCTTGTCGATATGTTGATAACCCGATCGAAGGGTGAGCTCCATATAACGCCACTCGTCAGCTCCATCAATGCGTTGCTTCCGACTGTTCAGCCATGTGGGACTGGCCGACTACATACTGGAGTGATATCATGAGTTAGATCTCTCAGCCCCGTGTGTATTTACCAATCGCACATTATATATAAATAGTCCGAAAGCTCTAACCTACGCTCTCACCTAGATATCGTCGCAACTATTATTGCTTGGTTAATCCCATCCACAATCGTGTTTGCACTTCTGCTCAGGTTTGGTGCATTTGGGCCTGATGGAGTTGTGGGCAGTAAGTAACGCCATTTCTCAATTCAAGATGCAGCGGGCACTTACAAGTTACAAGCTCACAAAGGGTCCATCACTGCTGCCTTCCAGTCGCGGATGTACGGTGGCTTTACTCCTTCAGGTGGGCTTTTTGCGACTTTGACCAGTGCGGGCATGTTGGGTACAATTAGGCCCCTGTATGCCATCTTTGCTGCCGTGGTTGCTACGGTTATTGTGTGGAGTCCTGGGGTCGGAGGATAAGGAGTCGTGAATGGAAGCACGGTGTATTTATCAAGTGACTAGGCTTGGATCCATATTAGTACGTCCAAGCAGAGAAGAGCTCTTCTGTACCTCTATAAGCTTATTGTAACAGACTAGAACCTGTGTCTAAGTCCGCTTCATTAATAGACTTTGGTCGAGTACGTGCTTTGTGTAAACCCTAGAACCTTTAAGGTAGATTAGCAATTCATACAATGAGTTAGAAAAGCTAGAGTATAGTAATCCATAGTTTTACCTCAACCATAGCTTACTGGTCTTGTGTCTGCAATATGAATGATTTGCCATCTAATAACACTCCCAACCTTCTTGGATCAGCTTGTCAAGATATGGGGCAAAGCAGTAACCCCGTGGATCTATAAATTGGAGGAATCCAGCAACTGACCCATCAAGCTCATGCACAATGGCTGCTCCACATATACCTTCCTTCACCTCCGGATCCCCTCCTGTGGGGCCTCGCCCGAAGTAAACTGAGGCTGGTTGGAGCTCTGCCATCGTTATAATGCCGTTGGTTTCATCCTCAGAGCGCAGATACCTTACGCCGGAGTATAGAAGAGCAATTTTCCCAGTCGTGACCCCATCGCAGATGTACCACTCCCGAAGCTTCAATTCCTGTCCCATGACCAACTTTGATGCTGGCGTAGGACACTCGAAGATCTGATTGTTGCTGAATGATATTGACGGATGAAGAGTTGCTAGAGCCCAGTCACGATCTGGAAATCTCTCAGTTATATTTCCAATCCAGTCTCCTGCATGACCATCCGGATGGAAAACTCGCTCACAGCCCTCAAAGCTGTGGTTCGCCAAGGTAATTCGAACTGCTTCTCCTTTTTTGATTCGGACACCCGCGGTTGAGACCTTCTCAGACCCTTCCACTCTAACCCCAGGACCAATCATACGATTACCAATATTCAAAAAGTTGGTGTCATCCCCCTTCTGCGTGCTGGAAGGACTGCTGATTTCTCTTTGTCGAGCCATAGTGATCGGGGCATCCCAAAATGCTGTGCTTCCAGGAGTGCGGTAATGATACATAACGGGCCAACCCCCGAGTCGCGCAGGTAGAGTCTCTGGTAGATATGTCTTCCCATCGTCGAGGATCTCGATGATAAGGTCAGGAAATATGAAATTCAATGCTTGAATATGTACACCATGAGACACCTGTAGATGATCTAGGATTGCTTTCACTTCCTCATCGCTCGGGTCTGTCCAGGGTTTAGATGTAAAAGGGAGGGGGTCCGGCATCGAGGTGCATACGTAATGCAGAGCATTAACTTGGGGTGGACCAGCTCTGAACCCGCTATCTGTGGTCTCTTGGGATACGAAGATGACAGGCGTGCAGCCAAGTGTCAGACTGATCAAGCCGCCATGGTCAGGTAGCGACGGGCTACTTGTGGTGACGACCAGGAATGGAACGATCCAATCTACACGTGTCGCATTGTAGGTTTCAAATATCCATTTTGCCTGAGATTCGGTGGGAGTCGTATAGTCACTTACCTCGTCACTCCAAAGTGAGAAAGGGGCTTTGTCGAGACGGTGACGCGATCCTCGAGGTCCCTCACTAATCCATGTTGGCTCGACTTGAATTGTGGGAGCAGAGGTTGTTGGGTCTCGTGGGGTAGGATGTGAATGAGTGTTGGCCCAGAACTGGCCCTGATGGAAGAAGCTGCAGTAGGGCAGGTGCTGGCGCAATTTGCGGATTTCTTTTGCGCCTCTCGTCCGAAACTCCATGCTTCTGGGATCTGAGGATTCTCTGGCCGTGTTGGTATTGTCAAGTGAATCAGGGGGGGGGTGAAGTTCGCGGGGCGGCGAATGAATGGTTGGTTCTTTGAAGGGAAGAAGCAGGCCCAGAGTGGTTTGAATGATCGATGTTTCAAGCTCCAAGTCTAACTCATATATACCTCGCCTAGTAGCGTACAATGCACGGCCTAGTACTAGGATATGTATATATATCCTTCTACCGCTCCCTAAGGTAAGTTATATTAGCTTGCCAGTATTTTAGTCTACTCTCTATATTTTCCCTATACGCCTACTATCTAATACTACCTATAGGTAGGTAGATTCCTCTATACTATCGGCTATTGGTTGCGTCACAGTCATGCTTAATTTAGTTAGTACCACATTTCTTAAACCCCTTAACCAGTCCAGACTAACATTGTGTCTCCTTATCTTCAACTCGACGCTCTTGAATCTTGAACCTTCTTGTGATCTCCTCCTCACACTGTCTAGAACTCGACACTCTTGATTCTCTAATCTAGAACTTACTTCTTGAACCTTTCTGTGGTCTTCTCACCTTCTAGACATAGACTCGACACTCTCGAATCTAGAACTTACTTCGTGAACCTTCTTGCTCTCCTCCTAACCTTTGAATCAGCTTATTAAACGACTCAAGGTTCAAATCTTTTCCCTCTTCCAACAACACACAGTCAACCATGTCGAACCCAACTCAAACACCACCGCCAGCACCGGCCAAAGTGCACAAACTCGAAGACGAGGAGACTCCTCGCAGAAGCGACATGGACATTACGGGATTGAAAGATTTTGATAGTATCTCCCAAATCTTTCCACAAAAACAAGGCGTATGGCTCTGGGGATCCATTCAGGCTGGTCTGATTCACGCCACGGAAGAGATGGAGAACCCTGAGAATGTAAGTGAGCTTTGCGTAATTCTAAATTGCTATATTATTCTAACACTAGTAGATACACTTGGATCTTCGGAAAATTCTTGAAACCCTCAAACTCAGATATGAGCGAGCGAATGTACTTTTTAGGAAGGACTACTCCCGTAGCGATCTCGGTCCAGAAGCGCACAAGTCGCAAGGGAAGTTTGAAGCTCTTATAGAAGAAATTAAGGGTCTGGAGCTGATGGCCAATAATCGAAAGCGTTGAGCTCAAGTCGAGCAGGAGAAGGCGAATATCAGCAATGAGCCCTCTGAAGCACTCCTCGAGACAGCCAAATACCAATTCTACGGTCACTATGGCGACTATTTAGCATTGATGAACCACGAGCTGAAGAACGATCCTTTGCTCGCCGGTCTCGAATTTCGTGACCAAACCATTGACTCCACTAGGCAACTCGTCGCATATATTGACCTAGAAATCGCTGCGAAAGCCGAAAACGCCGACGCCAAAACGCCATACATCGATTCTATCAAGCGCGCTTACACATTCGTCCCTGACCTCTTTGATAACCCCGAAGTGATCATCTCAGTTTTTAGAAACTATGCTACAAGGAATAAGATGTTCCATTCAGGAGTCAAAGAGATTGCGGACAATGGGGATATAAACACGCTCAACCAATATCTGGTAAGAGACAAAAAACTCCTACATTCCTTAAAGATAACTCCAGAAATGAAGGCGGCTGCCGAGGATGTAATGAAAGCAGTATCCACGATATTCTTTACGATGATGTCTTGGGACGCTGTTGGAGAATATCTCCCCTCAGACTTAGCCAGGGAGAGAGTTGAACGCAGAATAAGAAAAGCAGCATTGAAGACAGAAGAAAATAAGCTCGCAGAGAAGAGGGATGCCGAGGCAAAGCAGAAACGAGACGATGAGAAGTTGATGCAGTCAAAGGTCAAGTCTTTACACACAGGTATGTTCTCATGAGAACTTTCCTTCTGCGTTTCAAGGAGTGACAGTTTCTTTTTCTTTCTTTTTTTTAGCAAGCATGGACAAGCATAAGGAGCTACGACAGAGGAGATACCGGGAGGCATCCGAGATGTCAGAAAGCCTATCACCCGAGAAGGCGAAGACATACAAGGAAATCAATGAACATCTGACCCAGGAGCATGATTTCACGATAGAAGCATTGGCGGATGCGCAGAAGACTATCGCCAAGATCCGGGAAGACGCAAAGAAGGACAAGGATGACAAAAGAGCAGCAATGGCTCAAATGGAAGAAATGAAGCAATCTCTTGTGACTGCTAGAGATCAGAACGTCCAGAAAGACAGAATCATTACGGGTTTGAGAGGGGAGATCGAGACTTTAAAGATCCGGGAAGACGCAAAGAAAAGAGCAGCAATGGCAGAAATGGCAGAAATGAAGAAATCTCTTGCAACTGCTGAAGACCAGAACGTCCAGAAAGACGGAATCATCACAGGCTTGAGAAAGGAGATCGAGTCTTTAAAGACATCTCTACGGCTTACGGGTTTGAATTGCTTCATATTGGTTTGCGCAGTGGTCATTGCTTTAGAGCATGCAAATAGCAGATAATCTCCACTTTCTTCTCACCCCTAGCAAATTATTCGATGATTTCCTGACAAGACTCTTTGCTATGGTGCCCGAGAGTAAGATCTGGGAATGGTACTGTACAAGGTAAAGGTAGGTACCTACATTAGTACATTCGCCTCGGTACCTCGGTAGGGCAGGTTCTATCAGCCCTATCGGCTGCGTCAAGCTCAATTTGGTTAGTTCCCAGGTACTGCCGTCCCGGACGCCGACTCTCCGTTCCGTCCCGGAAGGGGGGTACACGCCGGGCCACGGAATTTGGTTTCCCCGGATGGGCAAAACTCAATACGAATAGCAGCAGTGCGAGCTTTCACGTTTAGCATTCCCAGAAGTCAATTATTTGACACATGTCTACACTCAGGCAAGGATTCATACACGGAATATCTGCATCTGATGGCCAAATCTCACTACGATCCATCCAGTACGATCCACGACCACACTCTGCGCAATCAGTTAGTTACCCAGATCAACCGACTCCAAATCACCAAACACAATCCTTTTCGCCCACTTCATAGATCTTGCTTGGTTATTGCTCTTTCCCTTGCCATTTGGTGCTGTATGAGTAGACCCCTTGTTAGGAGATGCCGCGGCCGTTGCAGCTGAATTGCCAGCGGCTGGTGTAGTCGCAGCTACCGCCGCCGCCGCCGCACCACCAGAGTTGGCGGCAATGGTTTGCACTGGGGCGGCTTTTGACGTTACAGTGAGTCCGAGAAGTGCTATAATGACAGGAGAAATCATGTTAGCGCACACTGTCCGAAACCAGGAAAGGTGAGAAGGTTGATATAAACAAAGATGATAGCACTCACCAGAGATGGCAGCGACGCCTTGTTCAGCTTCTGTTCCACCAGCAATCTGGTTCGCAGCAATGGCAGCAGGAAGATCAAGCTGGTTTTGTGCGATCTGTTTGTTGATAGCGTCTAGCGATTGGGATGTTGTGATTTGGTCGGCTGAGTTAGTAGATGGCGTTACGTCCGTCTGTTGAACAGCGAAACAGCCGCCGAAGGGACCAGCAAGAGCGTTATTCCGGCAACGGACAGTACAGACATTCCCAGTCGATGCTGCATACCTGTTAAAAGACTCGAATCTTACTACGCATAAAGGACCAAGTTGAACATACCACCGGTGCACGCGAGGTTAGATGGCATCTCAACAGTAATGTTGAAATCTTGTTCTTTGGCCTGGGAGAGACCGTTTACTCCGGGGATATTGTTCGTAACCGTAAGGTTCTGTGAAATTATGCCGGCATTGCCTGCACACCTACTGTCAGTGATCAGATGAGCCCGAAAGTCATTCTCAGAGCTTACTAGTTTGATCGAGATCACAAGTGTATGGTCCCGCGCCGTCTGCGTTGACTTGATGGATTGTGACTGTCATCTTGGTACCCGCTTTGACTTGAGTGACGGCGCCTGCAGCGAGTGCATTCTCTGTGTTCTCTCCCACATCGATATTACCCGTCAGTTCTGTACGGCCACATTCGTTGACAATATTTGCCGCGATCTCCGAGTCACGGATAATGGTTGTATCTTGTTGGCAAGGACTAATGCCTGTGCAGTTACGTGCCAGAGCGGCATCAACTTCCCAGTATTAGCAACGCGTGGGACCTGTCCACGAACAGTTGACCGACCTTGGAATCCAACGCTCGCGGGAGAGCCCGGAAGGCCCTGAGCAGCGAGAATTACGCCATGAGCTTTTGCTAATGCAACTAGTCCTGCTAGGAGAAATGTTGAGTACATCTCGAGTTGATTTGGTGACCAGCACAAATGAGTGGATAATTAGAGTGAGCGAAATGAAGCAGATCACCGGGACCTCTGAATCTGGGGGCAAAAGAAATAATCAAAGGAGAGTTATGAAGTGAAAGAAGAGAGACGGATGGTGAAGAGGAGACAAACCTTTGCTACTGGAAGATATATATAATGACCATCAACGTTCAGGTTCATAGAATGCGAAATGCCTCATCTCCTACATCGGTTGTAGCAGATATCCTTGTCCACCATTGGCAAGACAACCTGCTGAGTACAAAAAGATGGATCTCCAGAACAACAGAGAAACAAACAGACAACAGGGCGACGTTTCAGGTATCATGCCATATTACCAACGGTAGATGGCCACCACGTCTGTGGGTAGGAAGAGCAGCAATGATACTCGAGTCTCATGACAGGCGCAAGGATGAGGAGCCGACCTTCAACAGCAGATTCGGTAAATGACCATGTTTGACCCACCAATCTGAGGGACATCAACACCCTCGACGACAATTCCAGACCAATATTGCTCTCGACTCTCGAAACGCGCGCCAAGTCTTGCCAGCTGAATTTGCCCTGGTCAATGCGGTATGGGATGACAGGTTACAGAATCGCTGTCGATGCACAGATTGTCGCACTCCTGGTTCTGGGAGGCGCACGGAGAAGATGTCCCATTGGCAAATCGCTGTATGAACTTCTACCGCTGTTCGTATCTCGCGGGCACCTAAGTATATATTCGCTTTTGTAATCGTTGGCTACTACTTCGATACTCTCGTGTCCCTCCTGCAATACACGCCTATCCACAAGGCATGGGAGAAGTCAACTCTAGGGACATGTATTAATAATGATTGATTTTGTCTCGCCAATAGGTATATGTCAAACAGCAGGGTCAATTACCACCGGGATACGGAATCTGTTCCCCTAATTACCAACTGAGAATACCTCTTTTATCTTACTAATTGTCCACGCCCCCTACTACCCTAAAAACTTGAAAACAAACGATAGAATCGAAATCAGCACCTTCAGATACCCCTTAGAGTGCTAGCAGACTATAGGCGAGCCTATAGTAACGGATAGTAGGTGTACTAGACTCGAACAGAGCTAGCACTACCTACTTACAGGTAGGAGCTAGTACTCCTATACCCTGACTAAGAGCCGTAGCGAGGAGCTAGAGAGTAGTAGGGATAACAAGGACGATAAGACAGAGAAAATCATACAAAGAATCAAAGCTTACGTAATACTAGGCAAGGAGGAGGAGGCGTCGCGTCTCCTACGCGACCTTATCGCTATAACGACGACAGTAGTAGAGACAAGAGCTACGAACACGACGACTCTCTCGCGTACCCTTAGGTCCCTTTCTAACGATAACCTAGTAACGATCAGACAATTAAGAACGATGTTAGAAGAGGCCTTCTAAAGGCTAGTAGTAGCGGCGGCCCCTTAGGCTACCTACGCGTTAGTAGTAAGCTAGCGCCTAACAAGAGTACAGGTTATACTAGAGAGGCGGATTAAGGAGCTAAGGATTAGGGTAGACAGACAGATAAAGGACCTAGTACGTCGTAGCGCTATTAAAGTAGTAGCGGCGGCTAACATAGCGATTAGGGGCGCTAAGGTAGTAGCGACCTGTTAGCTACCTAGTAGCGACACTATCCTTACGTTTAAAGAGGCTATACTAAAGAACGTGATCTAAGATTAGGGCTAGGTATAGAGGGCGTTCGGGCCTACGGCCTAGCTCTACGAGAGTAAGTTTGTAGTAATCGTAAAGGGCCTGCTAGTAGACCGGATTATACGGGTAGAGCTAGGAGCGTTACTAGTAGAGATCTAAGCCTACGCGCCTTATGTTACAAAGGTTAAAGTTAAACCCGTTAGGGCCCTTATAGTAAAGTTTATAATAGCGGTACTATACCTCTAGAGCGCTAACGCGGCGACGCGCCTGTATAAACAAGGGTTAATCTAGTAAGCCTAGATCTTTAACTACAAGCCGTATTCGGCCGACCTATAAATCTAAAGATACTTTTAATACTACTAGTTCGGCTACATTAGGTAGTTCTATAAGAACTAGGCCTAGTACAGCTACTACGCGAGAGCGGCGTACCCTTAGGGTAAAGAGGAGTACCCTTAACTTAATAGTAGAAAGAGATACGTTAACTATAGTAGACTATACGCGGCGTAAGACTATTAGTGTCCTAAGGCCCTTAAGGTAAAGGAGTAGGCACATGCCGTATATTAATAGAGGCCTAGACAGTTTAAGGTGTCTAAGAGTAGCTTTACTAGCCGGGTACCTAGCGTTACGCTAGTGTCCTCGTAAGACAGTAACGATAGCTACTAGATCGTAGTATATAAGAGACTATAGACAGGCAATAGTAAGAAGCCTATAACAAAGACTCTAGTAAGGCGAGGGCGCCCTTTTATTAGGGCACTAGACACTATAACAGTCTAGAGCCACGATATTACGAAGATGTTAAGCTAGGGGGCTAACTAGGGGTCTAGCGACCCCTTTATAACGTAAGAATCACAGATCCTAGACTCTTAGTAATAAAATTAATAATAGTGTACTAGAACACTATAAGAAGGAACAGCCTCGCCTTAATAGTACTTTACGATAGCCGCGAAGTCGACGTTATAGTGATTTAGGAGCTATAGTACAATACTTAGATAAAGACAGTCTACTACCTAGTGTAAGTAAAATACCGGTAGGTCTATAAGGGCAAAGGTAGAGTAGCTATCTACGTTTACAAGTAGTACCTACCTCTTACCTAAGTAGTAGAGACAGGCGTCGACTAGTGTTACGTTACTCTATAGGGTGTTACTATCTAGTTAATATACTCGCTAATTCCTAACTCCTTAGGCTAGGCTAGCCCTCTCTAGCAGCTTACTAGAGAAGACCTAGAGGGGCTACAGATCGTTATAGGTAACATAAACCTCTATTACCTACTCTAGGATAGAGCCGGTAGGACTACCCTTAAATTAGAGACCCTTCTCTATCTAGCCTATAGGTAGTAGCTCTCGCTATACACACCTTAAGGAGAGCTAATATAGTAGCGATATAACGAACAGGACTCAACAATTAACTACGCGTAGGTTACGGCGACGCTCTAGTATACTTATTAAGGTAACCTAGGGTATAAGGGATCTAACTACTATACCTAGCTAATTAAGGTTATTACCTAAGTAGGGGATTACTAGGAGAGAGCCGTAAAGGTACTAGGATAGAGCTAGACCTTAATAGACCGAGAACTAGTAACGATCAAGGCTAGGAGGCTCTACCTTCCCTTAGAGCTACTAGACATACTTTATAAGGTTAATAAGGTAGTTAACTTACTTACCTCCTAGCTTGTACGTATTATAGACATATCTACCCTAAGAAAGAAGGTTAACTAAGGGCGTACTAAGCCCTAGTAGAACGGTAAGGTCCTTAAGGCCGTCTAGTAAGTACAGGTAGCGCGCCGTTAATACGCTACCGCCCTAACTAAGCTCTACTAGCGCGACCTCTAGTAGGCTAGTACCTATTAACTCTACACGATCTAAGATATAAAAACTAGGAGCTAGCACGGCGCCCTTACTACTACCTTAAAGGACTAACAGAAACTCTAGAGTCTTAAGAGGTAGGCTAGGCTCTATAGCTATATACCCTTAGAACCGGCCTTACTCTTACCTCTATAAGGCGCCGATAAGGAGGCACTAGCTACGAGCTATTATAATAAAGTAATAGTGTTAGGCCGGCGGTTCTTTCTAGAATTAACAGCTAATCTTAGCGACGTTATTCTAGACCTCTAGAACAAGTAGTACTAACGGTTTACTATTAATAACGCTATAACAGAGGTAGATATTACTAACGTTCTCTAAAAGACAGGTACTTAAAAGGCGCCGGGCCCTAACCTACTACCTACTAGCTTCCTTAAGGCATATAGGCGCCCCCTAGCCAAGCTCCTCGCGCTAATAGCGACTACGAGCCTCTAGCTAGGGCACTTTCCCGCGTAATTTAAAGTAGTAAAGGTAGTAGTACTACGTAAGCCTAGAAAGACCCTCGAGTAGTAACAAACCGCTAGGGCCTATAGGCTAATATTACTCTTAAACGTAATAGGTAAAGTAATTAAGTCGGTAATTAGTTAGCGCTTTACTAACGCTATAGAGTCGTAAGGGCTCCTCCTAGAAACACAGATAGGGAACCGGCCGTAGCGCTTAACAGACCTTATAGTTAAAATAGTAGTCGACACTACGTATATAGCGTAGAGCTATAAGGCTATAGCGTCCTTCCTCTAACTTAACATTAAAGGCGCCTTTAATATAGTAAACTATACACGCCTTCTCTATACTCTCTAGTACCTAGGGTTCCTTATGTAGGTAGTACAGTAGGTATATAGCTTCCTTACTAACCGGACGGCTAGTCTCTTCTTTAACGAGGAGGCGGCGCTACCTTAGGAAGTTACTATAAGGGTACCGTAAGGTTTGCTCTTCTCTCTTATCCTCTTCCTCCTTTACACTACTAGCTTGTACACGCTACTATAAGGTTATACAGGCCTTATTATAGTAGGGTTTACTAACGACCTTAACCTCTTAGCTTTTAGTAGAGACACGATAGAGACACGCTAGTACCTTAAAGGGGCGTAGTAGACATATAGCTAGTAGTCGCGTACAAGAGGGATAGAGTTCGCCTTAAAAAAGAGTAAGCTCTTTTACCTTACCTACGCCTATACCGTACTAACGACGCCTGTCTACCTTAACGGCTAGGTTATACCCTTGGTCTAAGAGGCGCGCTTTCTAGGAGTTTAGATAGATTAGAAGCTTAGATAGAAGGGCTACCTTAGCGCCGTTAAACAAAAGTTCGCTACCTAGTAGTTCGTGCTTATAAGGCTTACCGCGTCCGCGTAAGGATGTAGCCTGCTACGCGTAAGGGAGATCTATACGAAGGTGATCTAGAGCGCTATAGTATATAGTACAAGGGTCTAGTACTACCCCTCTAGGTAGCGAGCTAAGGAGATCGTAAAGGACCT